TTTTGAATCCAATTGGATGAGTTTTTTACAGGCGCGTGGCAGGACCTTGTTAGTTGGATCGTGACTTATTATTAATAATTATTTTCTTAAGAGTAGACGGACAAATTTTAATCCATTTATTTCATCCGGATACTGTCTGATACTTTTAACAGTAATGCCAGTATAATAGACGGACAAAAATATTTATCCGTCTAGACGGACGACTAGCAGTAATTTCGTATCCGTCTAGACGGACGACTAGCCACTTCGTAAAATTTTAAATTTGTTTTAAACAACTTTTAGTGCACTCTTATGTGCTATTACAATATATATTTTACTTTGAATTTATCTGTACCTAATATACGAATTTAATCAACAATGAATTTAAAAATAAAAGTAAATACATTTAAATGTATTAAAAAAAAGTGAATACAAATTTATCAAAATATTTTTAATTTTCTTATATTATTAATATCATCCGTAACAATGTTTATTTCAATAAGAATTTGATTCTTAATTACTTAAAGTAAGGTACTTTTAATGGAAAAAAATCACTTTTGACACTTCTAAATAGCATCTATAGTTAACATAACCTAAAAAACGCGTGACACACGCAAACGCACGATCCTCATGCGAACGAAACTTCTCTTGTCTTGACTTATGCACATGAGACGTGCATTTTTTCGAGACAAGTGATATCCCCCACTTTCATACATCTGTTCGCACGATTTCTGTATATCAGGTGACTGGGACTAGAAGTACATGTCATGCGCGGTAAGCGACATAGCAGACGTCTCGAAATTCTTTCCGTGTGGGAATAAAAATAAAATAAATAATATACAAACATTGTTGCTCTGCTTTAATGCTTTGTTTCATATTAAATCAAGCACTGCATGGTTGATTGAGCAAGAACTTTTGAAAACAAATTTTGGGGTGCTGGGGATTGAACCTACGTCTCCGCGCGCTAGCTAAATACCCTAACCACTACACTACAGATATCTGGCAGAAAAAAAAATCTTCCACAGGCTCTACAACTTGCTGATAGACAATTAATCCTACTTATCGACCTAAAAGGGCGGGCTCATTTGAAAATGTTTTTCACGGAGATATTTGAATATTCTGAATATTCACATTGCAGGTGAATATAAAAATTAAAAGTGTATCGAAATAATGCTGTAAAACCATGACTGAAGGTCATGTGAAAAGGTTTTAATAAAATTAATTATTTTTTTAAATATTATCTATTAATTAAAAATTCACAAATTTGCGAAAATTAATTTAAAAATTTTTTTTTATTAATAAACAATTATATTAGTATTGTTAAAGACAAGAAAAAGCGTTTTAAAAATAATTAAGAAAATAATTTCAATATATTAAAATAAGAAATGAAAGTGAACACACAAATTCTATTTTTTAAACATTTAAATCAAAATTATTATTCAAAAATTATTTATTATAATTAAAAATGTATTAATTAATGAAAAATTAATTTTTAAATATGTATTTTATTTTTTGTAAAAGATTGCGGCCTTTACAAAATGGTTTTTAAAGTTGAAATAAAATTTTTTTTAAATTAATATTTCGATTCGAAATAAAATTGACTAAATAGACAGAAAAAAATGCTTGTAATATATTTATTTGTGACAATTTGTAAAATTTAATTATTTTCAAAATGTTGAATTACAATTCTTTAAAAATTCGTTTTTTTTAAATTTTACTAAAATTAATTAAAAATTAATTATTTTTGAAAATTCAATTATTTTGAAAAACATTGAATCAAGGCGCTCTCACACCTTTTTGGCTGCCTGCAGGTTACCATGGCAACGCATGAGAGTGAGTGCGACAGAAAATTTAAAAATTTGAATATTCAAATTTTCTGTCTCACTCACACTCGTGCGTTGCCATGGTAACCTGCAGGCAGGCAGGCAGCCAAAGAAGGTGTGAGTGCGCCATTAAAATATTTTTTAAAATCTAATTTTTTTAAATACATACTTTAAATAAAAAAATTTTAAATACATACAAAAAAATTATATTAATTAGAAATAGGATAAGTAAATTAAACAATTAATATAAACAAATTTATTATAAAATTTAAGTAAACACAAAAACATATAATATAATTATAAATGATGAAATAAATAATGAAATAAATGATATCTCAAGTTCAGGTCACCAGAAAAATGAAATTCGACCAGATTATTAAAAAATAAGCTTGTCTTTATTGATATGAGCTAGAATTTTGTACATAGGATAAAAATAAAAAAAAATGTCTGACTTTTCATTTTTGACATTTTTTAAAAATCTTTATAGTTAAAAAAGTAGACGAAATGTTAAGAAATAATTATCTACTTTTTTTTAGCACTAAATACATATTTTTAAAAAATGTCAAAAATGAAAAAAGTCAGCCATTTCTTTTATTTTCATCATATGTACAAAATTCTAATCAATAACAATAGAGACAAGCTTACTTTTTAATAATCTGGTCGAATTTTATTTTTCTGATGTCCTGAACATGAGATATCATGTCCACCACCCAGATAACAGAGGTCTCCGGCCCGCCCGGCACGCTGCGGCCGAGACACCGAGTGTAAGCTGTGACGCTGCGATTTAACTAGCACTTGCTGGCGCACTTGTTGTAGATCAAGCGGGCTAGCAGTGGGCTGGAGAATTCGCTTACACATTATCTAGACCGTGAGCTCGCTGAGAGCCAGCAAATGGCTAGATTTTATTAATCCCAATTTATTAATTAAATTATATGTACTTACAAATAAAATAAATATATAATAGGAAATAAAGTTAAAATAATAAAATTTCAATGTTCACATAAAAATGCGTTAGTCAAAGAAATGTTTTGTATTTGTTCTAGAATTTTTATTATAAAAGAATTTTTTTCGTTATGAAACACACTATACAAAAATAATTATTGTTTAAAAAATTTTTTGCTTTTAATAATTTTTCAAATTGATTATTTATAAAATGTTAATATAAAATTATATTCCTTATGTCCCATCAAAAATTAAAAATTTGTTTAATATTTCACGTACATTTTTAAGTATAAAACACCCAAGAAAAAATCTCACTGAATAAGAAATAGATTATTATTAACAGAAATTACTTATCTCTAAAATTTTATAATTATTATTAATATTAATAAGTACGCAAATTAGAGGTTTAAGGTTAAACGCTATAATTATGCACAATTTTAAAAAATAAAATTAATTATTATTTTATATTCAAATGTTATTGTATATAATTAAATAATTAATATTGCTATTAAATTTCTTTCTTAATCAGTGGAATTTTTTTTCTCAACGGTTTTATACTTAGAAATGTATGTGAAATATAAAACATTTTTTAAATTTTTGATTGGACATAAAAAAACGAATGCATGAAAATGTACGTTGCTAATATAAACATAAACATTTTATAAAAATTAAATTGGTAATCGTTCTCAGTTTTCCGAATGTATTGTGCGTTAACCTTAGGAAGTGTGAATTGGAAAATATTGTGTGCTGACCTTTATTTGTTTTCACGACACGCGCACGCGCCATTGTTCATGGTGTACAAACGGCTCGATCAGGTGAAACGCGACCATTGACCAATATCATTGATTGTATCCATTGCTTGCAATGAATGTTTTTGGCCTCGTGGTGGAGTAAAGGTGATAAATATGTGTGTGTGTGTGTATGTCACCAATTCCTTGTTTTCAAAATATCTCAAACACGTTTTGAGGGATCAGCCTGAAATTTTGTAGGGTTATTGCACTCACCAATATCTAAAATCAGACACAAGGATTTCCAAAAATATCCATGCAATTTTTTTTATGCCTTTTTTTCGAAAATCGAAAAATAAATTTTTTTAAAAAAATTTTTTTTCTCTTGTCCAATCAATTTTTTTACTGAAAAACGTATTCCTTGCATTGAAATGAATTGATTAACTTATAAAAAGTCCATATTTTACCTAAATCTAGAGATTAAATGATTTTTTTTAATTTTTGAAAAAAATCATTTTTCATATTTTTAAAAATAACTTCTTTCTCGATTAAAATTTTGAGAAATTTTTGTGAAAATTGTATTCCTTGCAGGAAAACGAATCGATTCATGTATATAAAGTATGTATTTTATCAGAATTTATGAAATTATTTGCTACTTTAATTTAAAAAAAAATCGTTTTTCTTATTTTTTGGAATAACTTTTTCTGTATAAAATTTTTAATATAATGTTGTCAGAATTGTATTTCTTGCATGAAGTAAAAAATATTCATGAAATGAACATAATTTTCTGCTTTTTTAATTTTTGAAAAAAATTATTTTCGTATTTTTCAAAATATTTCCATTGAGATTATTATTTCCATTTATGAATAACGAATTTACGAATGATCAGTGATTTCTTTGAAACTTTCTTTGAAAAAGAAATAAATTCTTTTGATTACAGATGATAAATATTGTTTTTTTCTCATTTTACCTATTTTCATTTAAAAGAATTATATTTTAATACGTTCGAATAATGTCGACATCAAGGGTGTGCAGCCTGCCGGCACGCGGGTGCCTGTCACACGGGGCGAGCCATATGGCTGACAATGGCGCGCACAAAACGCTGCGTTTCGGCCTACACCCCGGTCCTATCAATCGGACCCCGGGCTAGAGCAGGGCTAGGCATTAGCCTTACATTTTGTTATCTGGGTACATTGTGTCAACAAGGCGTGCAATAACTAATTACCCATTCTGGTGGGGATTGTTTCTGCTCAATTGTGCGACGAGCTATGGAAAACCAGTTTCTGTCGATTAATCACAGGATTAACAGTTTTCGCGTGTTTCTAAATCTGTGTTGAAAGTTGTTGTATTCAGCGCGAATGTTTAAGAAATATGCCATGCAATCCTCAAAACATTGAAGATTTAAAAGAAATTCCACAAAAATATCAAGAAACTCTGGCAGGTGATACATTTCTATTATACGATTCATTTCAAGATGCGAATTTGATTTACGTTGCGGTCGAATTCTAATATTTTGCAGTAAAGACAATTTAAGAGCCCTTGCCACATCAGAAGTGTGGTATGCCGATGGAACATTTCAAACATCTCCTGTGATTTTTTATCAATTATTTGTGATAATGGGATCGGTAAATCATGTACAGCAAGGCATACAAGAAACTGTTGCTCTCCCATTTGTTTACGCTCTTCTCGAAAGTAAATCGCAGGAAGCATACACCAAGTGTTTGAAGTTGTAAATGCATCTTTTCAAAAGTTTGAAATTAACTTCACTTTTCCACAATTTATTATGACCGATTTTGAAGTTGCTATTATAAATGCTGTAATTGCAATTTTTGGTAATATTGTGCACTGTTGTTTATTTCATCTATGTCAAAGTGTATTCCGACGAGTACAATTTGAAGGGTTGCAAGGGCAATACAATAACGAAAATGATCGCAGTATAAAAGCAGCCACTCAGATGTTGTGCGCATTAGCATTTGTGCCACACGAGAACGTATCCGAACACTTTGATACATTAATGGAGGACATTCCTGATGATTTTATCTGTGTAGCTGATTATTTTGAGGTACGACATGTAAAATGGAATTCAATATATAAAAACATATCTCTTTTAAAAGATTATTTACAAATTCTTATTTACAGGTTACCTACGTTCGAGGGAAACCCGCTCGAGGAAGACGGAAAGCAGTTGCTCCACGTTACTCCCCTGAAATTTGAAACCAGTACGATGCTGTTCTTGGAAATATGGCCCGAACTAATATAATAACGCGTCTGAAGGATGGAACAACCGTTTTCGAATTATTTTTTTTTGCGGATGAAAATCAATTAGAAGTCCGGTTTATATAAAAACTCATTCAAATAGTAATTCAAATAATTAAATTGTTTTATAATTGTTTCACTTCTTTTCAGATGCGAGCCGAGTGGAATGGAACAAAGAATTGACGACTTCAATTATAAACGTTTATTCAACACTCTCCGTAAATAATAAAAACTTAAATGGTGACAAATTTTGGAAAAAAAATTAGCAATGTTTTTAAAGAAAATGGTATTTCAATACCTCACTATAAATGCAAGTCAAAATGGGATGCGTTACAACGTACATATAAAACTAATTTAAAAAAAGTTAATGAAACCGGATCAAGTCCAGTTAAATGGCCGTACTTCGAAGAAATGCATTCCGTCATGTATTCCAAGCCGAACATAATTCCACTGGCTGTTGCTTCAAGTATTAAAGGGTATAAAAAAAGGATTGCCCCAAAAAGTGTCGTCCAAGATAATTTGCCTAAAAGACAAAAAAAAAGGAAGAAAAAAAAACATGTAACAAAAGAAGAGATTCTTGAAAAGTAAGTGAAAGGTTGGACAAGTTTGATGAAAGATATGAAAGAAAGATGAAGAAGGACGACACACTGATCGACGCTGTAAAACTTTTAACAAATATATTGGCGAAAAAAAATTAGATTCTCGATGCCGGATTATCAGATCGATAATTTTTGTTGTTGATAATTTTGAATTTAATTATAAACTTTTTTAATCACTGCCTTTTTAAGAACCTTTTAAGGAGTTAACTTTTTTTACGTACTGTCTTTTAAGTATTATTACTTTTTAAGTAATAAACAATAATATTAATAGTGAGAAAATTACCGAGTTCTCTGATAATAATAACAACAATAACAAAACGAGGAAACATTTTTAAATTCGAAAACTTGTTAATTAATCAACGGCTATAATGCGCATATAATATTTATCCTTTGATTCGCCAGGAATCATTATTTGTACCTATTGATTTGTCTAAAAATTTAAAAATAGCGATACTGTGATAAAGTGGAATCACTTAGGTCAATTTAGATTTAAGATGAACGTGATAATTCAATAATGATAATCTCAGTATTACTAGTAAAATTATTATTTACAAAATAAGCAGACATGGAATATAATAAATATACTAATGACAGCGTGAGTGACGTTGGTCACTTGGCTGATTTTTTCTTTTATTGCGCTAGCGATACAAGCAAAAGAAAAAAATTTTTTTCAAATATGGCGATGACAATCAATTTGTAATAAAAATTTTTTAAAAGAATTTGATAAACCTTGAATATGGTTCGAAAAATTCTCTTTCACACAAACGTATGACTGGATTTATTGGTGAAATTATAATTTGTTTATTAGATTTAGTCTTTTAAGAAAACAATTGCAATTTACTTTTTCTTTATTTTGTTCCGGGGAATAAATGCAATACAAAAAAGAGTATTTTCATTTTGCAATTTTAATACTAGTCATTTCCCTAAAGATTAGAATTGTTTTCTTAAGAATATTTATTTTTAATCCTCTTTTTGAGATACATAATATATATATATTAAAAGTCGAAGATTCATAAAACTTCAAGAATTTTTATGACTTATTTTCATAATTTAACTCGTTTACGAACCAGATTATAGAACGATTTATGTTTTTTCGATTAGTTAAAATATTTTAAGCGAAATAAAATTGAAAAAAAACATTTTCTCCTCTTGCAGTTTTGCAGCAATTAAAAATTTTGCTTCTTTGAAGTTTGGCTTTACTTACGCAAACTGACAAAAAAAGAAATGATTCGACTTCAAGAAATAAAAAATTTCGATGATTTGCAGATATTTTGCTACATTTTTTTTCTAATTTTATTGATATTTTTTTTATCCTCAGCGAATCGTTTTTGCATTTATGAAAACGTGTAAAATAAAATTAAACGTTAAACTACAAATTTTTCCTTAAAGACCCAATCGAAGACTGTAACTTAAAAAAAATGAATTTAAACTTTGGATGAATTAATTTTAATACCTAATTAATAATTATTGAAATTTGGACCCATTGAATTTGAGGTTAATTAAAATTTAGATCGTTTTACATTTGGATGAATTAAATTTAGAGTCGATTAAAATTTTAATTAATAAATGTTTTGATTAATAAATATTGAGATTTAGTGGAATTTGAATCGAATTAATTTGAAGTTGATCGGAATTATAAGAATTAGAAATTTATATAGTTTAAATTCTTGAAAATAAGTTTAATTTAAAAATAAATTTTTTAAAATTATTTAAAATTATTGTTTGATTAAAATTTGAAATTGACTTTTTAATTAAAATTTAAATTAATTAAAATTTTAACTAATTACCTAAAGTCTGAACTAATTTAATTGTTAATCGATTAAAACTTGAAACTTTTAGTTAATTAAAATGTGGAATAATTGAATTTTTATTTAATTCACTTAAATTTGAATAAATGAATTTTTAATTAATTAAAATGTGGATTAATTAAATTTTTTAGAGATTAACGTTCAGAGTAACTAAATTTTAAATTGATTAAAATTAGGAATAATCGAATTTTTAATTGATTGGAATTTAGAATAATTGCATTTTTTAATAGATTGGAATGTGGATTAATTGAATTTTTAATTGATTAACGTTCGAAATAATTGAAACTTCAATTAATTAAAATTTGAAATTGAATTTTTATTTATTGATTAAAATTTAAATTAATTGAAATTTCAATTGTTTATCTAAAGTTTGTAATAATTGAAATTTTAATTGATTGGAATTTGGAATAATTAATTTTTTAATTGATTGGAATGTAAAAGAATTAAATTTTTTAATACATTAAAATGAGGAATCTACAATAATTGAGATTTTAATTGATTGAAATTTGGAATAAGTGATTTTTCAATTGATTGAAATGTGGATTCATTGACTTACTAATTGATTAACATTTGGAATAATTAAAAGTTAAATTCTGGTTAAAATGTCGAATAAATGAATTTTAATTGATTAGAATGTTAGGATAATTGAATTTTTAATTTAAAAAAAAAATAAATAAAAAATTTTTATTTTTGTATTAATACAGAGGTGTGCAAAAGCTCTATTTTTGCATGGGCTCGCGGTTCGAATAATATTCGATTCGAGCCCATATTAATTCTTATGGAGCGACTCGAATTCTGAAAATTTGCAGACCTCTAATTAATATTAAAAAAATTCCCTGACTTTTGATTAAATTCCCTGACTTTCCCTGACTTCACTGACCGCCGGACACCCTGATTCCAGGAAACTTCCACGAGGGAAAAAGATTGTTTAATCTATTTATAATTATTGCACTAATCTCAAATTGTACAAATTGTAATTAAAACAAAGTTTTTTGCCTACATAAAACATTTGATAAAAATTTTATCTAACTATAATGGAATTTATAAGAATTATTATACTTATGAACATAATTTTGTTCAAACATAAATAAAAATAAAATCAAATTTTTACAATTTATAGAGTGCTCAGTTAATTTAAAAAAATGTATGGCCTTTAGAACGGTTTTTAAGGTTTAAAATAAATTTTTTAAAGAATTAATATTTCGATTAACTCTAAAATTAAAATAAATACACAGAAAAAATGTAATATATTTATTTGTGAATAACTTCAATTGAGACTCTTTATAAAATTCAATTATTTTCAATATTTTTAATTAAAAATCTTAAAAAACTCGATTGTTTTAAAAAATTGTAATAAAAGTCTTTAAAATATTTAATTCTTTTCAATACAATTTCACGAAATTCGAATCATTTAAAAATTTTTAATTAATTATTTTCGAAAATTCAATTATCTTGAAAAAATTGAATTAACATTTTTAAGAAACCTAATTTTTTTAAATACCTACACTGAGAGACCTTTTACACCGTAACAGACTTTCGACAGACGGCTGCGGAGCATTCTAGCGGTCAGCTATGAAACTACGTTTTTGGTCTGCGGCCGAACAATTTTTGGAGCGTAGCTGTCCAAAAAATTGACGGCCGAAAGGTTCATTTTCATTTTTGGGCAGTCACGATACAAAATTTAGAATGCAGCGCACAAAAACCTATAGTGGCGCTGCAGTCACACACGAAGTTTTGATGCGGTGCAAAAGGTCTCTCAGTGTATGTATTTGAATAAAATTCTTCAAAACTTCAATTATTTTTTTAAATATTTCATTTTAAATCTTTTCTAGTGCTGCCCACGATACCGAGACTGGTCTCGGTCTCGTCTCGTCTCGGTTTTTCGAGACGAGACCCATCTTGGATAAAACGAGACGATACCGATACTAAATTTCACGAGACCGAGACTCTCGACGATATTTTTAAAAAATTAAAGAATAAATTAAAATATTATTATGAGACTTTATATATTATTTTTAATTTAATTGATTAATTTCTATAATTCATTAACAGACAAATATCTTTTAACTAAACATTTTTATATTATATTTTTTATTTAATAGTTTTCTTGAATTTAAATGTTACGCCAAAAACTAGTAATCAATGTACTCACGTTTCCAGTGGCGCTACTGTCACAGATTACCGCTCAGCTCAGCTGTGCTGTTTCAGTTTTTAATAAAAACTAAGTAAACACGTCAATATCGATTATATTTTGATTACAAATATTTTACTGTTTTTCGTATAAATTCTTATTATTCGCATTGCTTGAAAAGTAGTTCTTTCTGCTTAAAATGGCTGAAAAAGAATCTGGTTGTTCGACAAATCCTCGAAAAAGAAAGTGTACAAATTCGGCATCAGAACATAACCTCCGTGATTCGAACGAAAATAACGCTTTATCGAATGAATGTTCTACTACAGCTCCTGTTTCTTCATCGAAATTTGCGAAATATTATAGATTCGAAATGCGTAAAAATGAACCGGTAGGTATTTGCCTTGAGTGTGAGAAAGAAAAAAGACCTGAGAAAGTTGTCAAAAGAACTGGAGGAAACACATCAGGAATGAAAAAACACCTGCAAAATATGCATCCAAAAGTATA